AGATTCGGGACCCGAACAGAAGGGGTTCCCGGGTTTGGCTTGGAACCTTTGATACTGCCATCGAAGCTGCCAAAGCTTATGATCTTGCTGCTTTTAAGCTGCGTGGAAGCAAAGCCATTCTCAACTTCCCTCTGGAAGCTGGAAAAACAGCAGAAGCAGAGCAGCCTCTGCAGACAACTGTTGGTGGCAGCAGAAAGAGGAGGAGAGAGAGCAGCGAACAGAGCACAGAGAGTCAAGAGAGACAGAGCACAGATAGTCAAGAGAGACAGAGCAGCGAGGAGATTAGCAATAAAGAGATGAAGAAGGAAAATCAAGAGATGGTTTCTTCAAGTTCAAGTAACAGTGGAGTTTGTCCATTAACACCGTCGAGTTGGACGGCAGTTTGGGATATTAGCAAAGAAAATGAACAGGGGATTTTCAGTGTGCCTCCTCTGTCTCCCTTATCTCCGCACACTTCTTTCCTGGGATTTCCTCAGCTTATGGTTACATAAAATTGTTAATGATCCATGTACAAAACAGAAGAGTGATGGATGATTAGCTGGGTGGTTATTGTAAATAGTTTAGCTAAGCTAAGCTTAAGCTACCTCTGTTTCAGTTCAATTATATGATTGAAGAATTCATATTGTGTTTTATTGGATTTGTTTATTCCTTGATTTTCATATAATCAAATATATTTCTTTGCTTCAACAAATTTCGTATGGTCTTCTCTTCTGTCTTAATTTCTTGAATTTTACTCATTTTTTAAAGCAGGGTGTTGCGTATGCGCAACCTCCAATGTATATATATTGTTTCAAGTCATCGGAGACTGTTCATTGCTGTTGGTCTGTCCAAATTTCATGATATAAAATACTGCTTAGGATAATGATAATATATGTGGGGAGGCTCCACATTTGATGTGACATGTCAATCTCCATTAGGTTGCCATAAACATGTGTATTTAGCCAAAGGAATCCCTAATCAACATATTAATTAGTAACAAATATCAACATTTGTGACGACTATATATACACTAAATACAAACACAAGAATCTTACAAAACTGAAATACACTAATTACAAACACATGGATCTTATAAAACTGAATTTCCAAGTTTACTCTGTCCCTATTGAAGATTTATTGCCATCTTTGTTCGGTATATTATACATAAGATGCGAATTTCATCGTAAGCAATCGGTCCCTCATACGTTCTTATGAGCCGCATATGTTATTGTGAGAGTCGGACGAAGCTGCGCATTTGGCACTGACAAGCATTGTCTTCTATGTCTATGTCGATTGGATTGAAATGTGGATTGAAATGAATTGGCACGGTTTAATTTATGTAGAAAGAGATGGGAGCTCCATGGTACAATTGTGGACCATCATTCATTTATGAACGGCTTTAAGTTAATAAGCAAGTAGTAGGGTTATACTTTTCTTGAGGTATATGTGGTGTGCATGCGGAACTGCCCCGTTTGGGAGTGCTTCTAGAATAGTTAAAAGTGCTTTCTGACAACCAAAAACGCTTCTGATAGCGTTTGACAAAAATGTTTAGAAGCGCTTTTAGGCCATAAAAGCGCTTTCCGGAGAAGCACCTGTCATGTGCTTCTTCAGGAAGCACTCTCAAGTGCTTTTCCAAGAAGCACTTATGTTTCTTATGAAAATTTCAACGTCTTTATAATAAAAGTGCTTTTGGTAAAAGCGCTTATAAGTAGAAGTGCTTCCTAGAGAAGCACTCCCAAACGAGCCCGGTGTTGCATGTGGAATTTGACTAAATAGTGTGTTTACTAATCAGGATTGTAATTCTCATCAGGAATTGAATTATACCTATGGAGAATTTCTGCGTTTACTTCACATCAATGAATTAAAAAAGTAAGTGGGGCCCACACAAAATTAGGAATTGAATTCATGATTTTGGGGAAATTCAATTTTTAGGTGGGAGGTGGTATTCTAATTCATAAAGAAGTAATCCATTAGAAATTCATCTTTTTTTACTCATTATATCATCACACAATTTTAAAAATTCCAAATTTGTCATCTACTTTAACCCAATAATGAGGACATTTTAGTAATAAATACAACTTATACATCGATTTGATTTAATAAACAATTTCAATAGAAATCAAGAATCTAACTCTCCTCAATCCATATGATTTATTAAACAACTTCAATAAGAATCTAGAATCTAATTATCCTCAATCGAACAACTCAATTCGATTCCTCTTGCGAATTAGTAAACATGCTAATGCATATGAATTCTGTTGATGTAATTAGCAAATTAAGTTGGAGGGATGGATAGAGGATGGAATTGACACATCATCAGTAATTGGTTAATAAATGCTATGGAGCTGTAAAATTGATCTTTGGTGTATTCATTTAATATGATATTGTACTGCGTTTAGAGCAGAGAGGTCTTCTCTTTGTCTTTCAACTTATTAGAAGGAGACTAGGAGAGAGGTCAGCAGCCAGCCAACAAGTTGATGATGGGCCTGTCTGTCCTGTGGCTGTGGCTGTGGCTGTGGGGGATCTTTCCAACTTTTCTTCAACTTGGTGATATACAGCTTTCTGGGTTTCATTTTTTTAATTATAAATTTATAAATTTATAGCTTTGTATCTGGACACGAGACGAACGAGACATTATGAGTTCAGTTGCATCCGAGGGTCCCCTGTTTCACTGCTAGTTGCAAAACTTGTTGATGTCCTGCTGGCTGCCGCTCATGAACGGTGATGATGTCCTCCACGTGGCATTGTGCTATAAGCCATATGAATACGACCACAGCTTGCTGCTAAGTAATTAGTTTAGTTGGCTAGTTGCAAGTGGATCATCAGATAACTAACTACCTTCTCAGCTGGAAGCAGAACACAGTTTGCACTACTACTGTGGGCTGCTCTGCTCTCATTTCAATCTTAATTAAAGAAGGACTAATTGCCTTCATCTTTATAACAAATCATTAATTAGAAAAGAATGAATAAGACCGCAGGGATTTAAGAAAAAAAAGAAAAAAAAGAAGAGAGAAGAGAAAAGTTCTTTCCTATATAATATAATAAAGTTGCCACAATTTCTTCAACCCAAGTCCCAAAATGTGTATTCTAAACTAAGATAGCATAGCCAATGTCCAATATCCATATCCACTCCATCATGCATGCCAATCAACTCTCCTGCTCTCACTTCAAAATGGCAACACCAACACATGAAGAACAAGATGAATCAACTCTTGAACTCATTCGCCAGCATCTCTTAGGAGACTTCACCTTCACTGATGGCTTTTTTTCTCATCTCAATTTCCAAATCCCTGATGATGATTTCTCATATGATTTTCAACCACTTGTTGTGAAACCAGAGTGCTCCCTCTCTGAATCTGAGTCCACCTCCCCCATTTCAGATCCCCATTGCGACAACCCTCAACCCTGCAATTTTGAAACAAACCCCGAAACCATAATCTCGCCATCCATAAAGGTCGAACCTCTGAATATGAGCTCACCCACCAAGGGAAAAACAACAACTAGTGAGTGTACAACTCCCTGCTCGCCTGATGATAAGTTTCAGCAAGTGTCGGGTTCTGGTGAAGTGCTAAGGCATTATAGGGGAGTCCGGCGCAGGCCGTGGGGCAAGTATGCCGCTGAGATTCGTGATCCGGCCCGAAAAGGGACTCGGATTTGGCTAGGGACATTTGACACTGATGTGGATGCTGCCAAGGCCTATGATTGTGCTGCATTTAAGCTCAGGGGTAGGAAAGCAATACTGAATTTTCCACTGGAGGCTGGACAGTCGTCTCAACCGCCGGTGAACACGGCTCGGAAGAGGAGGAGATCAGTAAAGCAAGAGGAGGAGGAGCTGCCAGAAACTGAACTCTTGAAGCCTTGAACTCCAAGGAGCTCAACTGTCACCATTCAGGATCCTCCTCTGCTGACGTGGTGGAAAGTGATTGGATGGTGGATTTACTGATTTACTGTATGCATGCTCTATGTATTACTAGTACTAGAAGGGTCACTTATTCACTGTGTACAAATATAGAGAGTAATTAAAAATAATGCAAGGTGTAATTATTATACAGTCCCAAGCTGTTAAATTTGTTATTTTTTTTTTCAGAGAAGCTATTATTTTTATTATTAAAAGGGCATTGTTTTAATGGTAGAGATATATTTAACATTTCTTTTGGGGTTACTGACTTATAACCCCTAAAGAAATTCTTTATGTGAACTTCATACAAGACAATGTCCATACACACAGATAAAAAAAAGAAAAAGTCCATTTTGCATGTAAAACGAGGATAAATGTTTAATCCAACAGTCCAATAATAATTCTGAGCTGAATTAGACGGTCTTTAAGTGCAGTTTCATACCTAGAACCGTTCTTAGTCAGAATGTTCATGTTCAGATTGTATGAAAGGTCAAACTGGTGTTGACAAATGAGATGAAAAAGATGATAAGAAAAGTCAACATTGCTATTTCGAGAAGAAAAAGAGAAAGAAAAGAAAGGAAAATCTGGTGTGGACACGTGTCGCACCTAACAAAAAGGTGAATTTGGTTCACATGATGGGCCTATCACGGGATTGCTGGGTGGGTCGGAGTTATCAACTTGGGTTTAAAAGGTGGGACCCTTGTTCGACCCAGCTGTGAAGTTGCAAACTTGTCTCCATGTTCCGTACACGTCTCCTAATTTGGCCCAGTACGCAACTCTCAGATAAACGACAGCCAGCCGAGCATGGATGCAACTTGATATTAAATTTTATTTATTTTTGGGGTCCATGATGGAAACAAACAACCTTGCAAGTTGAGAGACTAAAGATAAACAGGACACGAGGACAAGAGATATTATGTGTCGACTTTTGTTGTTGCCGTCACCTTATCCACATGGTTTCAAATTCAATCCAAATTATGCTAAAAATAAACCAACTACATACCACAAAAAGAAAGAAATAACCACAAAGGAGGATTTTATTCTGCTTCACAAATATGAGGGTAGATGGTAATTTAGGCAGTGAAAAGATCACAAATTATTTCAAGAAGTGAAATGATGATGATGATGCCAAAGTTGAATCTATTAACAGCAAAACCAAAGTGACATTGTTTTACAAACAAATTATCATTAGTGTAACCAATATAACAAGAAATCTTTTGCAGCATAAAACCTAATCTTCCCAACGGATGATCGTCCATAAATTGATATGCAGAATACAAAGCCTAAGATATTTTCTGGGTTTTGTTTTACTGTCTAAGTTTTTATTCTAACTATTCTCCCCACCTCTTCATTTCCTCATTTCCTCACTTCTCTCATCTCTTTCTCATCCTCCATGTCCCATCTTTCTGTTTGCTTTTTTTTTTTTTAATTTCATTTTTCAAAGAGAAAAGTGTAATAAAAGCAAGCCCTAAGTCATGTCACCTTGGAAAGTGGTTGGTGTAAAACCTATTAAGAATGGTAAGACTCTGTTGGCATAATTCCAAGAAACAATGTTGTGGTGTCCACTTGAAAATAACTGCGACCTCGGCTCATAAATTTATATGGAAGTAGCTCTCATGTTGTGGTTGATCACATCAACATCCTCTTTATCAACTCTTTCATGCAGCGCATTGCCTTCCAAGAAACTAGGCTGGTTCGTCGATGCAAGAAGTCTAGCCCACATCCGATCTGTCAAGTTCACTGTGTTTTGCGTCTCTGTCACACGCTGCAATACCACATATGCCATTCATAACTATACAATTTCTATCTTATACCTCCAACTTTATCAATACAGAAAATCCACAACAATACACTAGCACACAGATTAAGAGCTAATAGCCTCAAGATTTATTAAGTTTCAACAGGCCTCAGAATTCAGATCCATTGGAGATGGGCTGTAGTCGTGTCCATGAATTTTATTTTATTTGTTTTTAACTTATAAGTTGTACCTTAAGCATTGTATAGGTTGACCTCAGTCCAAATAATCGTAGTCTGTCCGTTTCCATTTAAGAGTATCAGTTGGTTAGTTTATCTATGTACTTCTCTCCTTTCTATAGAAGGAAAAGTTTTTGTCAAAAGTTTTTCTAGTTACTTTCATGATTGTTACTGTAAATTCAAGCTGGATCTAGTTCTTGTCTAAAGCTTCATCCCCTCTTAAAAGTTCCACTCAGAAATCAAATAAAGAAAATGAAAGGAATTTAGTAAAATATCCATAAATTAGAGCAAAAAACACCCAATAACAACAACAGGAGCAGGGAAAGTGCTTACAGAAATTGGAATATAAGCATGTCTACTGTTTACAGGCCCAACTGTGAAACCACTGAATCCTGCCATGGCCCCATGAACAGCACTCTGAGCAAGAAGAGTGCAGTATATATTGTCTGATGCATTACTTGGGATAGCACGAATCATATATGTTGGATCTGTTGGATAAAAAGATAAATGATTTATTTTATCAAGATGTAGCGCCCAGAAACTTTCTACAATAATCATTTGGGAATGATAAGATCTTGACTGCTTAGCACATCTACTTTAGACTTTATGCAAGCAAAGAAAAGAAACCTTAATAAAAATGTAAAAGAAGCAAAAAGGAGTGGATAAAAGTTACTTTGGATATTGAACCTTTCATTGCTTCTATAATGTTCTCTACAAAGAAGATTCAGTTACAGAAAGGGAGAAAAGTCCCCTCTGAACTTTGGCTAGAATATAAGTTTGGCTTGGCTCTTGAGGGTAACATTAGTAGAGACAAAACTCTCCATGATCAGCAACAAAATTGTATACACTATATCAAAATGTACCTATATATTTCATATTTATTGCCATCTTCTGAACTTTCGTAAAATGATCCTGTGACAGGAAAATATAAACAAAGAGCTGAATCAATATTATTTGGATAACAAAAGAAGAAACCATAGCAGAACCAAAACAAAACTTGCAGTCCATAAAATGAAAGGGAAGTGACTCAAAACTACTCAAAACATTATTGACAGTTTGGGCGACACCTTAATCTTTTCAGTCAGCCATAAGCCAACATCTAGGAGTAGCTTATTTCCTGATGCATCTTTCCCATCGACCACTTGCATTTCCTGTGCAACATATTCCTGCCCTGCTCCTTCTGCTAACACAATAACCACATGTCCATTTTCTTTAAGCCGCTCTTCAACAAATTCAAAAAGCCCACCCCGACCTTCCAAATAGAATGGAGATTCTGGAACCAAGCAACAATCCTGTTACATCCAAAAGCCTATTAAGAGATCTCACCGCAGTCAAGTTACTACTTTTTATTACTTTAGAGCAACATTTCACTTTATGGACGACAGAAGTTAAATATCATTGAAAGTGGTGCTAGTCCGAATCAAAACCAACGTGTTTCCAGATCACTGTATAGTCTCTAGACCAGGACAATGTGCACACCCCTGATTGCCAAATAGAACACAGGTTAGATGAACACGGCTTCAAATTCACTAATTTGAATTGCTGCATCATATGCAAATGCACATACAAAGTTATGATTTCCGAAACTAATTTATTTTTCAATCCTTTTCATAGTCCTTGTAATTATGCAAACCAATCTACTTATTGATTACAAAAAAATAATAATCTATTTAATTGGGGTATGAAAGTGGGTGAAAAGGTCATAAACTTTTCTGAATTCTAAGCATAGAACATATTCTTCTTTAGGAACTGCTAAAGCTTCTAAAATTTTTGGTTCTCTAGTTTCCTAAACAATCTCCAAGACACTTGAGTTGTACCATAGCATAAATCTCTATTTCTCATTCCCTAAAAGGAAGGCTGGCACGGGGGTTGAACTGATAAAGCTTCTAGAAATTTTCAGTTCTAAAGTTTTCTGAAAAGTCTTCAAGAAATATGAGTTATATCTCAGAAATATGAAAATTAGAAAATTTCTCTAATTTTTCCCTGAAAGAAAAGAAAGACGCTGAATTTCCACAGCCCAGTAATTCATTTCACCAATACCTTTATTACTATCAAATAGCAACATCAGGATATCTTTGATTGAACAACATTTTTATTTATTTAAAAAAGATGAAGATTTGAAGGAGAAGCGCGGACTTAAAAGCAAGGTCAGCCAAGCAGTTCAAAAAGAAAGGGTAGTAGAATCCGCATTCCATAAGACACATAACAGCTTCACATAAACATTACATATATTTTTCCGATAATCTCTAGAACATCCGCATACATGATATGTATGATATGATAATTTCAACTATCCTATGTTTTCTTCTGCAAATCATTAAGATCATAAGTAGTTTGACGTTCTAGGGAGAGGGGCTAAGATTCTTACCACATCTCGACTTGCCAAAGTTGCATATAAAGCAATGAAACCTACAGAAGAAAAACATATCAAGTACGGGAAGAAAGAGACCTTACAAATACATGTTCACCGTTCATCATTTGACATAAGATGATAAGCAAAAGGTGAAAAATGAAAGTGTGTTATCCATTCCATTATATGGTTCAACGCACATACCACTGTATCTGCCCATGAGTTTGACAATTCCAACTCCATTTTCCACACTTTCAACCTCCACATGTGCAGCGTTAATAGCTCTCTGAGCTTCCTCAACAGCGGTATCAAAACCAAAGGATTTGTCTATCACCTAAAGCCAAATTCCAAAAATAATACCAGTATGATTTTGGGGCAACTTTATGAATGTTGACTAACATTGAACAGCATGTCATAGACTAAATATAGCTCTTCAATATATGTGAGGAAGAAATATGTTGTCTGTTAAAATTTATAGTAGTCATATTGAGATCATGAACTTCCCAAATTCTTTAAAATGGCATCAAAATTTCATTGCATAATGCGGAAGTAACAGCATAGTAATACTAAATATTGCAAATCCATCAGGGATGATAGAACTTACAGCGATATCATTATCAATTGTCTTAGGGATCCCAGCAACTGCCACTTGAAGACCACGTTTCTCAACTTCCTTGACAAAATATGCTAATGTCACAACATGCTATGCCAAGGAAATGGATTCATCTTAGAGAGATAATGTTCACCTTGTAAATTAGAGCTGCTCCTTTTTGGGTGCCATCACCTCCAATTATGTACACCTAAAATTCATGTTAACGACTTCCTCTCATTAACTTCATTTTTTTCAGTTGGGTTTTCCGTAGTGTATTAATAAGTTAAAGCAGCCCAAATATGTAGGAAACAAGAGCATATAATATTTCCACCTGATTTATTCCCCGGTCCTGTATGTTATCAACTATCTTGTTTGTATCATGACCCCCTCGTGAAGTTCGAAGAAAGGTCCCACCACGCTTGTGGATATCATTGACAACTTTTGGTGTCAACCTCAATGTATTTTTAGAATAAAAGCCTCTATATCCTCCCTGCAAGTTCTCAACAGCGGCAACGCAAGGGGATGCTTACATTTCTTGAGTTGGTCAGACAATATATGGTAAAGAATATGAGAATGAACTATTAATAGCCTTTGACTAAAAGAGTTTTACAGAGTTAGCAACAGTGTAAAATGTACTAACCTCAATTCCAAGTATATCTTCCACACCATACATGTAGTTCAAGCCACATACAATTTCTCGAATCACAGTATTGATCCCTGGGCATAAACCCCCACATGTCACTATGCAAGCACGCACTTCATCTGACTTGAAATAAACCTAACATTAGAAAAGATAATGTTATTAGAGTTTCGTTTTCACCAAGCATGTGATATATAGGTGGTGATTTAGACGAAAATGTACCTTTTCCCGAGGTCCTGCACGTCGAAAATGTACCCCTCTGGGATCATCCTTTTGAACAACAACCTAGAGCCATTGCATGATGCAGTTATTTAAAAGCAACAAAATAAAAAGTAAGACAAATTCAACAAATTCAAAGTTTGGCAGTTAACTTTCTTCTCTCTTTTTTGGAAGCGTGGAAAGGGATCACTCACTTTCTGTGCAACCACATCGTCAGTGCTTACAAAAGTTTGCCTAGCAACATAAACCCATTATTTACATATGACCCAAAAATAAAGCTTTCAAGAGAAAATTAACACGAATTTAGACAAACGTACTTGACAACAGCATAAGCTTGGCTCTGTTTCAATGGATTTGGATACGACTGAAAGAAAGGAGAAAACTTCGACTGTTAAAAAAAAAATAAACATAAATTGCGTAGGCTTTTTCTTGAGCGCACATTCAACAGGTGCTTAATTACTGTTTAGCTCACCGGTAAATTAGAGAGAAAATCAGTCAAGTGAGGAACGTCTTCGATGACAAAGCCGTCGTCCTTAGCTGGTTGTTGATTCGAACTTTGACATCGGATTGGCTGGGTTTGGCGCGAACGGAACGGAACTCCGAAGAAGCATCTGGATTTGAAGCTCGGATGCCGGAGGTTTTGAAGTGACGGGAAAGATTGAGATCTGGAGCCAAGCGATGAACGGTAAGGCGAAGGTAGCAAATGAGACGACGTGGAAAGCGGAGACGAAATGGCCGATTCCATTGGAATGTCAAAGCTTCTCGCAAATTTTGCAGAGGACGAGAGAGATGAGAAGGCAAATGAAATGTTGAAGAAAGCGTGCCAATGGCGAACTCTGGGAGGAGCTGCGTTTTGATTCTCCGTTGCGTGGTGGCGGTAACGGCCAAACGGTATTAATTGAGATGCTCGTTTAAGGGTGCAATTCGACTACAAACGGACACTTGTCAGGTCAAAGGAAGAGGTCAAGCAGCTCTTTTTGAACCCATTTTTCCTTTTGACCAATAATTAAATTTCTTTTCTCCTCTGGAAAATTATAATAAAATACCATTCCCTCCTCAGAACTCTCTGTAAATTTTGTGGTTTTTCCTAATTTTATTTACATGTCAACGTCGAGGTTTTTTCAAAAGCAGACAGTAACAGATTCCGAATGTGACGCTTGCATTTTATAATAATATACAGTGGAAACACATTTTACATTTTGTGCAAGGCATTTTCAATTATTGAGATTGAGATGAAAGATTGCCTTCAACTGCCTGAGGCAAACCCAGCAATAAAATTCAGATACATTTGCTTTTTGGCTGGTAATTTTTCAGATACAATTTAATGGTGTGCACAGATCGTGGAATTCTCAGCACTCAGCAGCAGCATTACTCATTGTAGCATCCATCACTGAAATAACCGCAGAGTCAGGCCCAGGTTGCATCGACAATTCATCTCGTGGTCATTAGGTTCTATTTGAGGAAACGATCAATCATATGACGTATGACATCTTCACCTTCTATATGTACACTTTGATCTTTGACCTGTAAAATGTTCAGTGTGTGAATTTGTTACTATAGTGCATTCAAGCATAAGGTCCGTGTGTGAGCGCTTGGACGTCAGCGTGTCTCTATGTAAGAGATAGAGAGAGAGCAAGAGAGAGATACCTGAATGACACTATGAGCAGCAAATCTATGTCTGCTGCAGTGGAAGCTAACATCTACTTTTTCCCAGCACACACGAGATAGGCCTGTCAATAGTTCCACTGCACAAAGAGTCCAATTATTATGTTGTAAAGTTGAGAAATCACTGAACTCCGGAGAAAACAAAGGTGTTCAGGCAGAAATAGTTTAGGGAGAAACAATAATATGCAAGTAACACACCACAACAATACAACAATACTCAAGTAAATGGTAACACGCAGATGCAAACGGATACAAGAGCAATGAAATGTAAACATAAGATGTAAGCAAACTTAGCAAAGTATAACCAACCAGAATAGCTACAAGCATAGACAACAAGTTCTATCTACATCGAACTCAAATGTCAAAAAATCACTACCAAAAGTTGAAAACAAATACAAAATGAAGTTGCAAACCTTCAAGCTTGTCAGAGCCATCATTTTCCACTGAAGTAGGCTCGCACTGCTCAGCATCATAGGCCTTACAATGTTCTTCATAAACAATATGTGGATATTTTTCATCAACAGTGTCCTCCCACTGATAAAGGAGAAAACTCATTACATTAAATGGCAACCAAAAGATTCCAAACTCAACCTACCATAACAAAACTATGCATATGGCAATAATACCTTTGGCAGTTCACTGTTACGTCTAATAGATGATGTTCTCCAGCCAACGATATCTTTGTAGTATTTGTTATTGAAAACAAAAGGTTAATAAAGACTTCAAATTGGAAAATGTACAACAATAAGATCCATATTGATCACGGAAAATAGGATACGGTCATAGCCCACATTTGAATACACCACCCTACGTCTAAAACTACGCAACGCAGACCTGTCAAACAAAAAATTCTATAATTACATATTCAGATTAACTCAGAGAGGAAAGCTCATGAAACTTGAATCTCAAAGTTAAAATTGGAATTTTTATAACCTACATGAAGTAACATTCATCATAATCCTCTATCATGCGTTTAAGCAGCGGAGGCTTTCCATCGTCGTCGTCATTAAGAAAAAGATGCCTACCTGTTCTCCTAAATATCAAATGAATGACCGCACTAGCAACCTTTTCAAAGGCAGGCACACCAAAAAGAAATGGTACCTACAAAAGGTGAACTAATGCATTAAGTACAATACCAAATGCATATACCAACTAACCACTGAACAACGTAACATAAGATCAGCCTAACATTTTTTCACTCCTGCCTTAACAAAGTTTTCCATCACATAAGCAACAGAATCAGACATTTAGAAAAGCTTATCCCATGACCCCTATACAGTACACCAAAAATCATAAAACCAATGAAAGCCAAGAACTTGCTCAAGCTTGAGATGTTAAAGAACTTCTAGGAAGTCAAGTACATTCTGAATGAATAAGTGGAAAGGCAATTGTGTTACCTGCTTGTTACCTCTTGAACCAAGATGAGGTGTAGCAACAGTAATAAAGTTCATAGGCTCCAAGCCACATAGCGTACTCCTTGGATCCTCTTCACTCCCATTAGGACATGAATGTTCCGAATTTTCACTTTTAGGGGGTCTATATAGCTTCCCAATTGCATATCTTGCCACTAGTCCTCCCACAGAATGTCCAATGAATGAGATCTTACGTAGATTTGGCTTTCTTTGAGTCAGTTCAACAACCTAAAATTAATAAATTTGGTTAACAAGTGATACAGAATAGGAAGTGGATGCGTTTTTTTTTTTTTTTTTTGGATATGGAAATAGATTCAAACATTTCCACAATATATATAGGCAGCGAGCAACCTCCTCTGCCAATCGCTCCCCCATTACATCCACACCATCCAAAGTCAGCCTAGAACCATTCCGCTCACTACCTGCAGACAAATTTCAACCAACTTAATTAGACTGGACAAACTTATATTGTCCGCAAACAATATGAAATGCCATTGATCACATCAACATTTCTCTAATTCCACTTTAAAAATTTCTCTTCCAAATAAAAAGAACTAAATATATAGAAAGCAAGGGCACTAGAATCCAAAACTCAACTCCGGGAACTCAAATTAACTATAGACTAGAAAAGCCAAATATGCAAACATTGTCCAATCCTATAAGCAGCAGGATGATCATATGTATGGGCCACCTTTCTCCGGTTTAATGATTCTTTTCTTCAACCAATCTCCTCTTAAATGAGATTAGTAACATTAAGAAGAAATGAAATGAGTGACAGGTAAAAAATCAAGATAAAGTTCGGGCAAAAAAGGAACATTTTTGGCTCTTTAAACCAATAATTAAATTATACAAAAAATGGTAACCAAAAACAGAGGAAGAACTAAAAAGGATCGCAGGTATTAGAGAGCTCAACCCAACAAAGCCTTTTTCCTTAATAAGTAATCCAACAAAGCCTTATTCGAGTAAGTGTATCAGCATTAATTGAATGCATGATGCAAAAGAATGGTCCTTACAATGAACAAATATTTTGTCAGGAAGCATTTTAACAAATTGCTCCGCTCCAAACTTCCAATCTGCTGCACTGCACGAGCAAACAAAGAACAATATCGACATTCAACAAGAGTAAAACTTTCCAGCAGACGAGTTTCAAATACCCAAAATACAAAATGAAGTATTAATGGTCATGCTAAAAGATTCAATTTAACGTACACACAACCAAAGCAGACAAATTCCAATTTAAGAAAAGAAAGAAAGTTAAACAGAAAACCATATTTTTTGCCCAATATGACAAACATACATTTGTAAAGTAAGCATTTAATCAAAACGATGGACAAAAAACAAAGTTTTAGTAGATCTAGCATACATTTGGAACTTACAATTTTAACGGAACATCAAATTAATCATCAAAACCATGAAAAGGTAAACAATTTGTCGATAACATCATTTCAAATACAAAATTTTCTTTCAAAGAAAGTAAAGCCACCATTAAACCTTCTCAATCCTCCGATAATTGAAGAATTGGTCAATATCCAAAGCATAAAGAAATAAAATTTATCGTACAGAAATCAAATCTTGATGAAATCAAGTTTGTTCGAAGTAAATTAACAAACGATGAAATTGAAAAGGCCAGACCTGCCCATAATTCCATGGACCATGACAACGAGATGGTCAGCAGAAGAAGAATCGGACTCATTAGAACTCCAGACATCGTGACACCCATTCACCGACGCGGACGAGCAAACCCCGTTCTCTACGACGCCGTTTTGCATGGTTGCTGCTATCTTCTTCCCGGCTATGGGCATTGACTGAGAACACGCGATAGCCGAGTTGTAGAGAGACGATCGGCAAAGCTGTGGAAGTAAATGAAGGGAAAAAGAAGAGAGAAGATAGTTTTTATGTTCTCAGCTTCTTCCACTTCAGCTGGTTCGGTGGTTGAGGACTGTGAAATGAAACGAAAGGAAGAATCCTGACAGCGAAGGAAACTAATTTTCCTTCTAATGTTTTTCCTAAAAAGGATTTTTTTTAATAATGCATGAAAATGAATTTTTTTTTTAATTTTTTACCCGCTTTCTTAGATATAAATAAATAAATATAAAAGCAAATTCTTTTTCTTTTTGGTTGAAATTTTTTATCTTTTACACTAAAAAGAAAAAGATTATAACATCAGCAGCAGGGTAGTATTTATTTATTACAAATTACAACGCGTTCGTTAAGATTCGGAAACGCGTCGGCTTTTGCTTTGCGGGCATTAATGGTCGGGACTCGGGACAAGGGTCGGTTGTAATTTCCCCAGAAATAACCCAAACCATGGGATTTCTTCTTTTTCTTTACCGACAATTGGAAGAGATAAATTATAAAATTATATTTTAAATTATATAAATTATAAAAACAGGCATTTTCGTCTTTATCTCATATTATTACGCATGTAATTTTTTTAATATTTAAAGTGTTTAGTAGCAATGTAGCATTCAATATTTTGATCAAAATAAATTGCATATGGTTAATCATATATATATTTTTTCGTCATTGAAGAGGGAATATTTTCACACACATTGTAATGTGGGATCGAACTAGACCGCTAAGTAATAGACACTTTCATTTATAGAACTTTATGTGGTTCAATAATATCATTAACTGACAATGGGGTCATAGCTCAATGATAAAGTTATTGGCATGCAGGTTAAATAAATGTGTTGATTGTCGTTTAGAGAAGTGTGTTTTTGATTTTGTGTAACATGTAGATTAATTACACGCATGAAACGACAATTAATGTGATAATAACGGCGAACAAAAATCCTCTAGTTGATATATGATATTAAAATAGATGAGCTTTATGATTTTGCCTGATATTAGCAACTTAACCCTTATTAAAAAATTATATTTATTCATCAAATGTTTGGGTGATATAGGCTTCTAAGTCACTCCATATGTGAGAAATTCAGCCTTAAAGTTATTTAATAAGTTCAAATCACTCTTAAGATACCTCAATTATCACTTAACATGTTCTAAATTAATTTTCCATTACGTAACATGTTCACGGATTGAGATTCCAGAAGAAGGCAAGCAAACTTGCCTCTAGCAAGCAGCAACAAGAGAGGAGAAGAGAAGAGAAGAGGAGAGGATAGAGGGGTGATGACAGGGCACCAATTTGGACATTGTTTGAAAAGTCAATTTGGTCCTTTATCTAGCATTGGATTTACAGAACTAAATTGGAAAACGACGTGGCTGCATCTTTGAGTGGTTGTGGTTGGTTCACCATTAAGCCCATAATTATTTGTTGCTTCATCTTTGAGTGGCAGTTGTATCATAATTATTAATCAACCACATGCGCTGGCACTAGTATTATGGATTATCCATTATAAAGAATAAGGAGGCCCTACAATTTGAAGATCATTGAATTGAATTCATGTCTAGAAAACTCTCAGTTTGGTTTGGTCAACATTCTTGTTCCTTTTTTTTGGTAAAAACATTCTTGTTCCTTTTGTTTTGGGCCACTTTCCACTTTGGTTCTAATAATTTAAATTGTTTAATCACGTAGTTTTGTTTAATTAAGAGTATCTTCAATAGTAGTAGCAAATTAAACGCTTCAAATTAAAATTTGTTGACTTATATGGCAATTTAAAAAGGTTTCTTTGCTACTTGAATGATTTTTGCTCAAATAGATTCTTCAATTCAATTAATGCAATGTTATGAAAAAGAATGAAAACGTGTGAAAAATGTCTATGTGTCAAGTCTTTCAAGTTTAACTAACAATGTTAAGAAATTTTGCTGGAATTCTTTCTAACAATGTTAAGAAAATTTGCTGGAATTCTTTCGTTTTCGTATTGGGATGATTGCAACTGTTATTACGTCGAATTTCACCTATTAATTCATCAAAATGTCAAAATCCAAAATAACATGGACCAATGTGAAAAATGAGTCAAACTTCGATGACCAAAACGTAATTTAGCCTAAGAATAAAATTATCATCTCAAAAGCAGTAACTGTCACTTTATACAGTCCACTTCCATATTTTCTTTTCGGTGGTGGTGGGGGGGAGGGGGGCTACCAAATCGACCAAGGCACTTGCTGCAAATTGGTCATGCAGGCTTAGCAAGTCAAAGCCGGTCAATTTTCCAAGAGCAATAACGATGATCTAAATACAAATGGTAGAGAAAGGCCGCTATTGTAGCCAAAGCGTCTGATGTTCCAACTACAACAAATGGAACATCCCAACTACATACATATAATACACAAAGAGAGCAAGTTGAATTGCTTAGTTCTACAATTTACTTTTCTCAATAAATATTGGTAAAGCAAGCTGCCTCAATCATCTGAGCTATATTCACTGGATTCTGGAAGTACAGCAACAGCAGCGCAGCAAAATGACTCTTTATCCTTCAGCAAAAGACAGCTTCCATCCGAATTCCATTTTAGATCAACTATGCTAAACTGCGGTAGTGGGATACTCACACAGTAAGCACCTGCAGGAGTCCACATGTACAAATGTGAGCTTCCCGTGCAAACAACGAGACGCGTGCACGTAGGGTCCCAAACTGCTGCTCGAATTGGATCTTTCTGCACCAAGATAGTGGCAAGCTCAAGATGCCGTATGTCCCAGATCCACAGAATACTTGGCATGCTATCATTCCTAGTGCAGATGTATTGGCTGTCATTGCTCCATGACATTAGACCTACAAACCTCATAGCTTTAGCGATATTTTCATATAATGAATCTCGAGCAAATTTTCAGTTAGCACTTAAGGATACATACGGCCAAAAATCAAAGAAAGTCTCAAACTAATATGCTGAAAGTGCATTTGAACTTTGAATTATTGCTTACACATATATTGATAACTCATAAGGTGAACAAGCCTTTGAATGAAGACGTCTGTCCTTACACAAAGTCAATGAATAAAAGCAGCTGACTCCACATAATGAGGTACTTAAAGTATTCAAGGTCATTGGGAAATATCCCATGCAAACATATTTGACTGCAATATCTATATCAAACTCCGATATAGGTCCAATTAGAATCAATAAACTTGACATCACAACTTGAAGTTCCTCAACTTGCAACATTTGTCCAAAAGTATGACTGGGCTCAACCATCATGGCCTCTCTCAAGGACATTGAATGTTATCTGATGGCTGGGCGGATGCATTTATGAACGCCTAAATTTCTAAGTGCATCTCCACTCTGCAAATGTAAATAGCTAGAACAAAGACCACTTTGATTGTTTTTCAGCAGATTAGGTTTAGCTTCATTTAAAGGCTATATATTGCAGGAGTGATTATAGGAGTAATTACACCAGATAATATCTTAAGACCTATCTTCATGTTTGAGCTATTGCATTGACTGGGGTCTACAAAATTTGTATTTATTTGCATAACAAAACAGTACAAAGGGAGAAAGGGCTTACCAATTCCTTGTTTGGGGTTAGGTTTGTCTGCAGGAGGCTTCTGGAAAGGCAAACTAATGGGCACTTCTGTAACCTCGTACTTAACTCTGAAATGTCCTTCAGAAGCATCTACTTGGAAAGAAAAATAAAAAAAATAAAAAAGGGGGAAAGAAGAAAAGTAAAGGGATCCAATCACAAGGCAGAAATGAAACCTGGCAAATACACACACACACACACACCAACAACAGGAAAAAAGGAACCTGATATAGAATACTAAAGTACTAAACAAGAATGTAGAAGGGTAGTGTATGCAGACAAATGATACAGCACACTACTTTCATAGTTTGCAAATGTTTTATAAGTTAAGAAAGAACAGCAATCCTCCTTTTGAGAAATGTACCAACAGTCATGCTTACCATCATTGCCTTGTGCAAAATCATCACTTATACATAACTCGGACATATCAAGCAGCAGTGGCTCATCCACTTCCTGGCGTTTTACAAATTAAGGGGGTGAGAAATCATCCAACAAACTAAAAGAACATGATATCTGGCTATCTAATATATTAACAAACAATCACCTTAAAAACAGCAGCACAACAGGGAGCACGGACAGTAGATAGATGCATAAATTCAGCAAAAGTCTTCCAAGTCAGGTGATTCAAAACCCGCAACATCTGGTCATAACTACCCACTGCTAGAAACTGGCCACAAGGAGACCATGAAACACTTTTTACGCCCAATCCACTTTCATATGCTTGATACTTATATAGGCACCTCCCATCTGGGGAGTATATTAGAACCTGTATCAAAACACACCATGATTTTTTTTATTTTTTTTCAAACTAAACTATTATTTAACAAACTTACTGCACATCATTTTGGTTTAACAAAGCCAAAAGAAACGAAGTTGCCACCTTATATTCGAGAGGCGAATCCCATATCACTATTGTACTGTCATCTGGCGACCATTCAGTATCAGACAAGTCCAATGTGTCCACAGCAAATACACCCATTATCTCCCATGTATGACAAGACAGAAGATTAATGTAGTCCTTGCAATCACGCCTTGTGCAAATTGCAGCAAATTTCCCATCCTTGGTAAAAGAAACGCCCTTGTAAGGATGCTTTGGCCATTGCACATGTACACATGCTGTGTTTAATAGTGACCAAACTGTTAAACGCAGTTGGAAGTCTGAAGTGGTAAGTATGTGACGGCTGTCTGGGCTCCATCTAGCATACGCAATACCAGCAGGACCTTCATCTATCTTGCATGTCCATTCAGGTTGGGCCAACGACCATGCCTGTATCATTGGTCTTTTATATAGACCACAAAGAATGTACTCAGAATCGAGGGCCCATTCGATATAGCTTATCTTGTCCAAGCATGAAAACAGCTGCACAACCTGCATTAGAAATTTAGAATTAATTATGTATACGATAAACTTAATTCAAGATGTACGCAATGGAGTTTAGCACATCAATTGTTAAGTCAGACAGAAGTTGTTGTACAACAGCAATGAGTGTGAGGCATGCAGAAACCAAATATAGGATGCAAAGAAAATAACTGTTTCGACCATTTAGTCATTATTGCTTATGTACAAACTTTTGAGGGTATATTTCTACCTCCAGAAAAGCCTAAACTTATAACTGCTCATGAACCCTACCATACAAACATCTCGCAATGGAGCATTATTCTTTGTACTAATGTACCTTTTATGACTCTTATGGTCTAATTGAATGGTTACGAAGAGTGCTCATATTAAGTAACAAAGAGAAACCTCAACATATTGAAATCTTCAGTCTATGTAAACACTTGTTTAAGAACAGTAAAATGCATGAACATATAGCGGCCAACATTCACTTTGAATCGCGTTAGAGATCTACAAGGTGAAAAACTCTTATCATAACTAAATGTGATTAGATCCTTAAAATGGAGATCGATGTTTATAATAGTTTTTCTTCTAATTTCTCAGCAATCAAACAGATTACAGCTTATTGAAGTTACATTGGCTTTGTCAACAGCGAAATGCAAAGGGTGAGATCTACATAAATTTATCCAGCTACCATTTGGTATCCGTGCAAATGTAGAGAGGTATGAGAAACGAACAAGTTAAACATTTGCAGTTTCAATTTCCTTGCATTTTCTCGGCAACCAAACGGAGCATGAAATAAATTTATTAAGAAAAACTAAAAAACGAAAAAAAAATTGGAATTGGTTGAAAGAGATTCCCGAATAACGAGGCGATAATCGACGGCGACGGCAATGTAACGAGCATTGGGTGAGAAACAACAAGGACCCGTCTGCTTGTAAGCTTCTGTGAACTCCATTCACATTCAGATCAAATTTTCTGAGACGCAAGTTTCAAATTCGTTTGTTTAACAACGCCAGCTTACTGTTAAGCTGTCGGAGCACTTTTTGCTACTTATATTTCAAATTCAAACTGCAGCTATGAAATAAACGTATTGAAGTAGTGGTGGTTACTGTTGCTGGAGAGTGTTTTGGATTTGGAGTGAGATGAGATCTGTGAGAAGAGAAGAGACTGTAGGGAAGGTCTCGTTTAACTTCGCTTTGTAAAACTGGCGAACCCTTTCAACCGGCTAAATCAAATCAATTCGCTTTATTATTATTATTATTTATTTATTTTTTAATACAAGCAATATTCTACTTTTTTTTTTAATCTAATCTAAATTACTAGGAGAGGAATTCGAACGCAACTTTAACCAACTTGACTAAACTTATGTCTGCAAAATTTGATTACTTGAGTTCAATTTTATACCCATAAAAGCCTCATTTTTCTCAATTTTTTTTCTTATGTCCATTCAAAATATGATTTGATGGCGGGAGTTTCACTAAAACACCCAAAATAGGTTTTGAAATTATAAAAAAACTCAAGCACGATTTAAACATATAAACACACCCAAAACTCATCATTACACACACTCAAAACCCATTTATAAACACACCCAAAAAGTTGACTTTTGGGTTGATTTTGGGTGTGTTTCTATATTTAAATAGTGCTTTGGTTTTTTTATAAATACATGTTTAGGATTGAGTTTATTTATAAATTTGTTCTAAAATAGATTTGAGCCTCCAAAACCCAAAATCCAAGTTACAACATGATTCGATAATATCACTTACTTTTGGAGTACATAAATACATGAGCTTAAGTCTCACATTAAAAAAGAAGAGAAAGTCTCTACTTCTTATAAGTGTGAGCCTTCCCAAAAGTGCTATATGGAAAGGGGGGGGCTAGTGGACTCACTTTTGGATTGCCCTTGAATTATGTATACATAATAATTAGTATTTAACAATCATAGACTAAGTGAACCTAACCTAGAACTGTCTCAACGAATTTAAAATTTATTTTGTAATGTTCAAACAACACCACTAATTTTGTATTATTATAAAAATTAGCCTTAAAATAAACGAAAGCCATTCATTTACTAAGCTTTTTAAACTTTTTGGATACCGCCAACTTTTAAATTTTTTTTGAAAGTCACCACTACATATTGCCAAAATTTTAAATACTTTTAAAAAGTCAATAACTGAATGAGTCCTTCTATAGTGAGGGCCTTGTATATAGCCCTTATGTGATGTCCTATCTCTTAACCGTTGAATTAAACTAACTAATTTGATATAACAATTAAGAGATAGAGTCTCACCTAAATGCCATATATAAGACTCCCACTACAGAATTCTTCACATACCACTAGATTTTTGTCTTTTTAAAAGTTTAAATTGAGTTACCAAAAGAAGTTTGAATTGGATAACAACCCCAACAAGGCCGACCCTAAAATCAGTCAGCCCAAATCCCCAGTATCGTACTTTGCTTCTTTGCGGGCATTGGCGCTTGGCGCCTGTGTATGCGTCGAACGACATGCCGTTTTTGACCGAGCCACCCCGGAAGGAAGAATAAAAAACAGGTTCAAATTTTTAGATGTCTATTCTGTAAAAAGAAAAAGAAAAAGAAAAAGAAAAAGAAAAAGAAGAACCCTAAACCCTCCAAAACGCCTCTGTGTCCCTCAACAAAAACCCTAAAACCTTCCGGAGCTGGTTCTCGTCTTCGTCTTCGTCTTCAAAGGAGAATTAGGGCTTAAGCTACAATAACAAGAACAACAACAGCAACAAAAGCACACACAGTTATATTCATTGTTTGAATAGTTACCAACTGCGGCAGAGAGAGAGAGAGACATGGCGACCTCGATTGCGTCTCAGTTAGAAGCCATAAAATCCGTGATACAAGCCGACACAGAGCCGTCGGTCAAGAGGCCCTTTACACGCCCTTCCATTCTCTTCGACGCTAAAGAGGCTGCTGATATCGATATCGATACCATTTTCTCTATTGCACTCCAAGGTCACTCTTCTCTTGCCATTTGTTTTTATGCAGAGAGAAACTTAGAGCTTAGTTTCTATTATTTTCTGCAAGGTATTAGAAAGGGATTAGTTGTTGAAATTGAATATATGTTTTTCTATTTTCAGGTCTGGATGTCCTTGTAAGCACCGATGAGCGATTTAGAATCTACAAGAATGACTTGTTCAGCCAAAAAAGCAGAGAATTGGATAGAGAGTTGATGGGCATAGAGGAAAATAATGGCATTAACGTTTCGATCAGTTCATACTTACGATTACTCTCAGGACACTTTGAACTCCCATCGTCAATCAAGACACTTGAGTACTTGATACGCCGATATAAGTAGGTGCTCATTTCATTTTTTGTAATTTTGTTTTATGTATATACTTTTGTTGGTTGTAATCTGGTGTATATTGGAATTTCAGGATTCATGTGTACAACTTCGAGGACTTAATTTTGTGTGCTTTGCCATACCATGACACCCACACATTTGTTCGAATAGTTCAATTAATTAGCTTGAGGTTAGTCAATTTGTAATTCTTGTATATTGTTTGTCATTTGGTGAAGTTAACATATACTGACTTGATAGTTCCTTGTGGTTTAGAAATAGTAAATGGAGATTTATGGATGGCGTAAAAGTTTCTGGTGCACCACCACCTAGAAAGGTTATTGTCCAGCAATGTATTCGTGATAAGGGGGTTTTGGAGATTTTATGCAACTATGTGAGTGTTTGCAACTCTAATTGGATGTTTGATTACTATATTGTCATGGTTCATTTTAATGACTGTTTTCCTATAGGCATCCCCGTCGAAGAAGTATAGGCCTTCAAGGCCTGTGATAAGGTTTTGCACGGCAGTTGTTATCGAGGTTTTGGGTTCCTCCACATCTGTTGACAGTGATGTTGTGCAGAGAATCCTATCACTTGTTGTTTCTGGACTTGAGGCTGGCACAAAAGGACATTCAGAAAACAAGGTGAGGTTCCACAAATTATTATTTTGGACATTTTAGCAGCTCCTCAAAGTATTTTGCATGCCTTAAACTGTACAAAGAAAAGAAGATTAAATATGCTTTTTAAGACACACATAAGGGATAGGAAAGCAGAAACTATTGAAGGATGAGTTAAATTTTGATTATTGCCTGGTTAATTTCTTCTTATCAATCTCTTGCATTGGGGTACCTCTATGGTTTTTCTCTTTTCAGCAATGAAGTGTAAAATATATGTTCTTTTTGTAGGCTGGTGCCATGATGATTGTTGGTTTGCTAGCGAGTAAAGTTACATTATCTCCCAAACTTGTCAAGAGTTTGATGAGGTCAATTGCTGAAATTGCTCGAGAGGAGGCAAAAGAGTCGGCTGATCTTCAGTTGTTTCGCTTATCGCTTATGACTTTGATCAACCTTGTTCAGGTACTGCTTTGTTCTTATATGCAGTAGGTTGTAGCATCATTCAATTATTCCTGAATTTTACTGCATCACTTCTAGTTTAATAGTGGATGATGTCTGTGTAATAGATTATCTTCTTAGTTGGGTGTTGCTCAATGTCTCTTAATCCAGCGGTATTTCTATAACCTCTACTTTAATGTATTTAAAGAAAAAAATTAACGTCCTTCATGTCAGAGTCATTTTATAATAGTTACCCAACTTCCTGAATTAATAATATTGCGTTCTGCATTTATATGTATATTTTCTTGACCTTCTTTTACTTAAAAGTTTCCATAAATTTTTCAGCTGCAAGCTGTTGATATTTTCCCAATCAAGACTTTGGAGATTTTGATGGACATTAGGTAGTTATTCACAGCATTAATTGTCTGAACAGTTTCATATCCTTCATGTGTTTGTCATTAATTTCATATTCTCTAAGGTTATTTTCCATTTCCATTTGAAGGGATTTTGCTGCTATACTTTTGGGACTGTTTAACGAGTTCAATATTGATAGATTTGTATGGGTACTTTTGGATTCTCTGGTTGACTACAGGTGAGAAACCAATTTTGGTATTCACTTATTCTGGTAGAAATATCTTAATTCCTTCTTATTTCATTCAACTTCTGATCATTTATTTGCAGTTCTTCTAATGAATCATGCCAGCTTGCTTTGATCTCAATATTAGAGACAATTCCTTCCAAGAATTTTGTTCAACATGCAGTTTCTAAGGTCCTATCATCCTGCTTGCAAAGTTCACAGAAAATAAAAAATTCAACATCATCTTTATCAGGTATTTTCGTTCTCAAAATTTTTATTTACAAATGTTATATTTTTCATATATATATATAGACATTTTATTGCCACTCCCGTTGTTTGAACATTCTTGTTTAAATGGGTTGATTCTTATGACTGCAAGACTATCTTTAAGCTCTTTGTTTTGTATTTTTCATCATTCTTTTGGGTTGCCTTCTAGGAAGTTGGGCGAAGAAGATCTTAGTTGTTCTGAATGAGAAATATCAATCTGAACTACAGGGAGCGGTTCCCAAATTTCTTGATGTATGTTTCCAGTCGATCTCTCTCTCTCTCTCTCTCTCTCTCTCTAATTATGTGTTCGGACCCACAGATGCCTTCCTTATTCTTGTTCAGGGTATTCTGATTGTTGATTTCTTGAACAGGAAAAGAATGTACAGTCTAAGAAAGGGGGCTCAGTACATGAAATTTTGGGTAAAATGTTGGATGGTAATTTGGACATGTCACTAGCTTTCTCAGAGTCAAAAATTTGGTTTGGGTTGCACCATCCAAAGGTATTATTTAGTGGCATTTTTTTAAAATATTTATATTTGTAAATGTGTATGCTTCAATAAGGTCTGGAATAATTTTCTATCAACATAATCTTTAGCTATCATGTTTTTGAATGTGGCTTAGGCTGATGTTCGCCGTCGCACACTGTCTGCATTAGGCACCTCGGGTGTTCTGGAAGCCAAGGCCACAAACCCACAGGTTTCTTTTGGTTACTTAATCTAAAGAAGATATGTATAAGAAATTCCATTTCTTTCAGTTTCAAATCATTCTGCTTACTTTTGTGATTTCATTTTCCTGTGAACCAGAGTCTTGTAAGCATCGAAGATGTTATACTGCGACAACTTCATGATGATGATCTTACTGTTGTTCGGGCAGCTTTGTCCTTAGACAGATTGTCCACTATAATAAGTTCTGCTGACCTTTTTGAAGCACTGGGTAATGTGCTTAAAAGATGTATTGGCATTCTGATGTCAAGTGAGTAGTTATGTTGTGGATGCTTTCCCCATTATTTTATTCTCTCATTTCCCCGGTTCAGACATGGAACTAATTATGGTTCCCTTACTCTGGCATACACATTTATCATCTTGCATTCTGTTTTTCTTGCAGGTTCATTGGAGAACACCAGTCTAGCATGTGATGTTTCTGTTTTGTGCCTGAAGAATGCTAGCTCTGGTATCGATGATAACATTGAATGTTGCAATATACTTGCTTCCATGATTTTTCCGTTACTCCTTGTTCTACCTAAGGTTCTTTTCTTTTCTGTCTGGATATTAAATTATATCAACTATACTGCAATTCTTGCACTAATTTGGTATCCAGTAAATTGTTTGTCCAGCAAGTCAAACTTTTTATTAATAGATCTATGTTTCACCGAGTACAGACACAGAGGTTAAATTTGAAAGCATTGGAATTAGCGAAGGAGGTAAAGTGGCCACTTTTTGAGAATCTTGCAGGTGCCTCCAACACAGCATTGGTAAGTTATCTCTTTGGTAGTTCCAGTATGCTCATCAATTCTTTTGTTCTTATTATCAAGAGTTGGGGAAAATGTTACTGTGAATAGACTATGGGCTCTATCTCTCTTTTGATTCTGCAGCTTTTAGTTTTTTAGTTATGCATCCTGGCATCTATATTTCATGTGCAATGAGTAACTCTGAAGTTGTGACTCTGAATTGTAGACATCGCAAGCAGGAAGCCTGTCCTCAATTAACATGGACACCATTGCAAGTTTGGCTGGCAGGTTCTCGTTGCACCCTGAAGAATTTATGCCTTGGCTTATTAAGAGTTCTAATGACTTTGAGTTGTCAAAGACACAGTTCTTCTTGGTGATGATGCAGACGCTTCTCATTCAAAAGAATAGTATGTTCTCTTTTTCATTTTGAACCAGGATTCAATCAATCAGTCACTCTCTCTCTCTCTCTCTCTCTCTCTCTCTCTCTCTCTCTCTCTTTCATTTTGGTGGACTTTTGAACCATCCTATTGAATTCTTTAATGACTTCTCTACTACTTTTTGTACTTCTATCCTGCTTGGCCTAATTACTGATTTGCGTTTCTTCTGTATCAATGTGTGTCTTTCTAACTTGCATGCGACTCCAGTTCTGGTGTTTCTTGTCTTCCTCTTGCTTTTTTTTTTTGGCACTTACTATAATTGATTCTTGTTCTCTTTTCTTTGTGTGTCAGAATCTGCTGGATTTTTGGCCCTTTTTGAAGTTGGTTTTCCTGCACTGAAGGCGGAATGGGAAGCATTTGAGTCAATGGGTGATAGCTCTATAGAGGAGGTATGAGAAAATTATTTGTAGATAAATGTATTTTTTTATAAAAAGAAACCATATCCGAGATTGCTTATCTTTTAGCACTTTAGCTAGCCAGAAATTTCACTTTCGTAGTCTTACATTGATGCTGATGAGCTTTGTTGTTCCATTTTCCTTCTTGTTTCTGTAGTTCGATAAGGACGTGCTGAATTGGGATTGCAGAATATTCCTTGATAAGCTGGACTCCAATTTGAAGGCATTAAATGCAAATATTCTAATTTGCCTATTTTGGCGGTTAATGGAGGCATTTTTATCTGCGATGCCTGCTGATATCTCTATGGTTAGTAATTCCTTATGTGGTTTGTTTTATGAGAAACAATGGTCATGGATATCCTGTTATAAAACGATGGTCATGGATCTCGTAGCTGTATTTATTTGTGTTGTGTCTGTGCTAAATGTGATGTATGCTTTTTAATTGTTGCAGGATAATGATAAGAAGTGGGCTAGCTGGCTTAGGGACTTGTTTGTCTTTTTCTCAATCTCTAAGTTTAAGAAAGTCTTCAAAGAACACCGTCATTACCTTGTCACGAAGTGCAAAATCTCTGCTGTTCGCTTCCTGCCCAGGTTTTTCACAGAAGAAGGTACATGCTCCCCTTTGATATATCTCCTATAATTTTCTTTTGCTCCTGTTGGTCGCACTTTGTTTACGGAGTGTGTAGAATGGGAATTTTCCCTTTGATAACTGCGTTGTATAATTTGCTTTATGAAGGTCATGTTGTACTGTATTGTACAACTTTTGATTCTTGGAAATTATCATTACTCTGTAAATCTTTTCTGGAAGATCATATTGTACTGTGCTGACTGGTGGATTACTTGTCCACCTTCTTGTACGGTTTTTATGAAATAAAACTTCTCTTTTTCAAAATAATATATTGTACTGTACTGACATGTTCGCTGTTCCACTTTACAGATGTTCCCCCTGCAGTCCAAGTTGAGAGTCTTAACTGTTTTGCATATCTCTCTCTTCAACCAGAAGTTAGATTGCCAATTCAACTTCTTGCAGAATTTCCGTCTTTTCTTGTTCCACTGGCTAGTTATAAACAGGTATCTTGGTAGTATTTTCTCTTTTTGTAATTGTCTTTGCCCATTGGCTGACTAGTTGAAATTATGTGTACTATTGTTATCTGTTTGTTTTCCTTCCAAGTGTTTTAAAATTTGTTCCGTGTTTTAGTTATGCTGTAAGTACATGAGTTAAATTGGTTTGGTGGGGATTTCTTTCAGGATATAAGACATGCTGCCATGAACTGTATTGAGGGGTTACACACACTTTGGGCTCATGTTGACTCTTCAAGCAAGAAAAATGGTATTACTTAGAATAAATATTTTTGGCCCCTTTTGGATATTGTTTTGATAATTGCATAATCTGAGCTTTTTAAATTCCAGGAAACCATGCAACTTGGATTCACCTTCTCGATAAGCTTTTGGACTTGATGGTTCAACAAAAAAGGCTCATCTTATCAGACAGAAACTTTCTTCCTTCCCTTTTGCCCTCTTTGCTCAGCCCATCCTGCCAGGGCTTCATAGCACCAAAGAATGTTGAGCTCAGGTGATCTAGTGTTGTTCTTATGGATCCTGTTTAACCACTGTTATCCTCATAATCATTTCATCTTACATTCATTTAGAATAAGTCTTGCTTTGTTACTTCTCTAGTTTCTACCTGCCCCCAAAGTTTTTTATCTTTTTGACTTCAAACTTTTTTTTTCCCTGTTTACATTTCTTAAGCTAAATATTTGCTTTGTTATGATGGTGTTGTGGTTAATTTAGTTTAGAGTTCGCTGTTGAGCATGAAAAAACTACAATGGATTGTTAACTCTGTCCCGACATTTCTTTTAGGGTTGATCAATCTACAAGAAAGAAGATTCTTGCTTTCATTTTGAATTCTGCCCTGAAACTGCCTGATTATGCAAAGGTTTGTTTATTTGATCTGCTGTTACTTTCCAGAAACTGCTAGATGCTTCTGGTTATTCTTGTTACTCCTTTCATAATTAATCATCACCAACACTGTCACATACATAGGATTTCTTCAGAATTGTTAAGCAGACTTGATTGTTTCTGGCAGCTTGTGATTCTATCTTTGCTTAGAGGAATGGGCAATGCCATCATACATGATAGAGAGATGAAGTCATTTTTATCTCAGCTTTTGGGAAGACGCAGTCAAAATTACTGTGAACAGCATGTCTACAGCCAGAATTTGTCAAAAATTGAAGTTCAGATACTATGCCTTCTACTGGAGGTAAGTCAATGATGTCCTCAATGCTTGTTGTACTTATGCATATTCCCATCTTACCTTTACTCTGTAATGAGAAATTTGGCTTCTGCCTGTCCTAGAGTTGTGCTATGCCTTCTTCACTGGATGAGCATGTTTTAGAGGATCATTTATTGGAGGCTTTGAAGGTAAGAAGCTATCTGCAACTAGATTGTTGTGCATTCTGTCTTCAATGTTCATTCTCTAACTTAATTATGTTGACATTATTTTTTGAATTATTTTCTATTCCAGTTGGATGGTTTGGCTCCAGAAGACCCTGCTGTTATACAGCCTTGTGTAACTGTTCTGCAGAAGCTTAACAGTCAAATATACAGTGGGCTGAAGACAGAAATACAGGTTAACTTTTATCTGTTTTCTAGAACTTTGTATGGTATGGTGCTTGAAAATCATATCAGTGAGGTTTTCTTGATAATAAGTTTATGTGGGCTTTCTGGCATGATGGAAAAGTAAACATTTGGGATGTATTATCAGCTAGCTATAATTTAGATGTACTAAGTAATAGCTTAGGCACTGCCTGAAAAGCTAAATGATACCGCCATTAATTTCTTTGGCATTTAATTTTGTTCTCTCTCTCTCTCTCTCTCTCTCTCTCTCTAAATTAAAGATGTTGACGAAGTGCATAAGGTGAAAACATGAATGGATATTTTGTTTCCTTTTTTAAATTATGTGTCAAAAGGCAAAAGGCTACGTGTGTGCAAATATTGTTGGAATAATTTAAAATGGAACAATCCAAAGTTTGCATGGTGTAATGGATGCCTTTTTATACCTTTTGGCTAATGCCTCAAGCATAAAGTGTTAATTACAAACATGTGGCACCTACTCCATATCTCATCATTACGTCTTATCTGCTGAGATAATCAACATATTTTAGACTGCTTACCTTTAAATAATCATAAATTCGCACACATATTTACTGCATTTGTGCAGCTAATTAGAGGTCATATATTTTAATTGTTTTGTTTTGTATATAGAATATTGGATAAATTCCCCTGAACTTCCCTACTCTGTCGGAATACAGGCACTGAACATGGGCATCCTGTGAATTGATTTAACTGTTCTTATTTTTTACTTCACTGAAACTTATAGAATCGTCATAAACTTGGGAAGGCAGGTGGCCTAAATTTGGCATTGTTTGTGTTGTGCAGGAGCTTCTGTTTCAGGAACTTGTTTCTTTATTTCGGACTGCTAATGGTGATATACAAAAGGAGACTCGAGCGGCCTTGCTGCGGTTAAATGTTTGTTTCTCTCTCTCTCTCTCTATGATTTATAATTCGTGGTTGGATTAATTTTGTGCTTTCTGTTATTGCTTTGTTTCATAACTTGTCAGACTGGTTAATTTTGTAGAATTCTTAAATAATGTGATATTTGCCAAAGATAATTATTATATATTTTTAAATCTTCATGGATTATGTTAGTGAGATTTGGTACTTTCTTTCATTAGTTGATTTCTGTTTAGTTAATTGAACCAATGTGCATACAACTCATTTGTACACCTTTGGATGTGTCAGATTACTTGCTCTACTATTGTTCAGACGCTTGATTGCATGGTAAACAACAGAAGTTGTGTAACTGATTCTGGGTATGGAAAGAAGAAAATGAAGTTAACGGGGCATCTGAAGTCAAATCTGTCCTGTGATTTGATATTTAAAGGAGAGAATGCGCTCTCTCCCCTTAGCTCCCTCTTGGATGTGTTGCTATTTAAGAAAGACATAGAGAACAGGTTGGTACTTTTTTTTACTTGCCACTTTTGTGTAAAAAATGAGCCTTTGATACTTTTTTATACTAATTGTGTTAAATTTTTTGTTGTAGGGATTCTCTTTTGGGGCCATTATTTAAGCTTCTTTACAGAACATTTTCCAATGAATGGGTACATGGTGTTCTTGTCCAGGATGAAAAGCAGATTCAAGTTTCTTCTAGAAATTGTGACTCCATGTCAAGCGCAATAAGTTACATACAACAGACGCTGCTGATAATCCTGGAAGATATTAGTTCCTCTCTCACAAATTCTGTTCCACTGGCGGTATGTTCCAATATTTTGGAATTTAAATTTGTTGTTATTGGAGAAACTGACAGTTGGGTTGTTTTTTTGTTCAGCTTTTTTATCTGTGTTGCTTTAATTTTGTTCCCTTTATTTTGTGGCAGGATGACATAATAAATGAGATTGATGTCAAAATGTTGGTTGAGTGTGCCCATTCGGTGAAGGATGGAGTTACTCGCAACCATGTGTTTTCACTAATTTCTTCTATCACAAAGATTATTCCAGAAAAAGTTTTGGGGCATATACTGGATATTTTTACTCTTATAGGAGAATCAGCAGTCACACAGGTTTGTTAATATGCTTAACTTCTACTGATTTTTTCACTAGAAAAGATGTTGTGCCTTGAACTTTCAACTTCTGGCTTGAGTTCTACTCCCTCAATGTGTAAAATAGTAATTTGGTTTTTATTTTATTTTGCAGATTGACAGTCATTCGCAGCATGTGTTTGAGGATCTTATATCTACAGTTGTTCCATGTTGGTTGTCTGGGACAGGCAACAATGACAAGTTGCTCCAGGTAATTTATTCTTACTGTTTTTGGTGTTGAGTGCAGCACTGCAACTGGAGGTACATGTTTCTAACCATGTTGTGATTTCATTCTGCCCTTCAGATATTTATCAATGTATTGCCTGACATTGCTGAACATAGAAGGTTATCAATCGTTGTATACCTACTCAGGTAGTGGTGATTTAATATTTTTTTTAAAATTCTATCTTATTGCTCCTTGTGTCGGTTCTGCTTACTTTGACATGTTCATACGCAGGACTTTGGGAGAGTCAAATAGCTTGGCTTCATTACTTGTGCTTCTCTTCCGTTCATTGGTTTCACAAAAAGGATTATCGTGCTTTGATAACATGCATGCTTCAGATAGCTCCACAGCTTCATTACAGAGACAGTGGGAGTATGCCCTGGGGATCCACATATGTGAGCAATATTCATGCATGATATGGCTTCCCTCTCTGGTAATGATGCTTAAACAAATAGGAATGGGTATTCAGTCTCAAGAACTGTTTATTGAATTGTTAATTGCGATGCGGTTCACCTTACACAAATTGCAAGATCCAGAGTTTGCATTCAAGCTTGTATCAGGGGAAGATTCAGAAAAAGTTCAGGTACTGATTTTGCACAAATAAGAGTGCTTGTGGTCAAGCTTATATAAAGTTAGTTTGTCCTATTCCTTGATACTTATAAACAAATTTTTTTAGTAATTGGTATTAAGTATTGTGTTTAGTCATAACTCTTTTACCTTTTCTGGATAGGGATGGTGGCTAGTCTGAGTGTAATTTGGTTTTTAGGTCTTATGGGTTATTTTATTCATGGGAAAAAAAGAGTGCTGTCCATTATAATTCGAGATGATTAAACTGTGGCCTATTAGTTTTCCAATCCACATCTTTATACAGCTGAAAACGATAATGAAAACATGCAATGCATGGATTAAATAATAAGCAAATTGAGTTTTATGGAAAACATGTATCCCAAATTTTTATTTTTTTTACATCTTAATTGTATATTATAAAAAGAAATGATGAGATCTAGCTTATTGATAAACTATAATTGACCTTATTGTTATTGTAATTAGGAACAATTTTCCCTAGGAAATTAGTTAATATCTATGTTTTGTTATTTTGTTCTTTGATGATAATTATTCTTGCTGCTTAAATTTCCAGGCTACATTGGAAGAACTCATGGAACAGGTTGTCTCTCTCCAGCAATCTGTAGATGCAAGGAGGAAGAAAAAGGGTATCCATGTCTCTATTAGGAAAGAGTTGAAGGAGTGCATGCATGGTGTATTAAGGACTATTACTATAGCCATGATGCCTCCGACACACTTCAAAAGCATAACTAAGTTGCTTGGCCATAGAGATAGAAATGTTGCAAAGAAGGTACTTAGTGTATTCTTCTTCTATGACTTATATATGTATACTTACATACATATGTATATTTATTAAGAACAGCTGAGTAGGATTTGTGGGTTGCTAACTATCAACTACTGTGGTTGTTTACATACCAAAATTGAAGTGTAAAATATCTTCCACAAATGAGTTAAAACGTAATACCATGAAACAACTGTTTCAGTAGCAAACCTTAACACAACAGGCAGAAAAGGAGGTTTTGTGATACTACACATGAAATACGCTGTTCTGTGTCCAGTGTAATCACATCATGATATAGATATACAGTCGACCAGTGGTTACATGGTCTATTAGTATAGCCTTTTATTGCATGTGCATTGTAATAACCATTTGCATTATAATAGGTAATCCTTTTTCACATCAAGTTATATTTTTGTGCAGGCTCTTGGTCTCCTATGTGAAACAGTTAGGGATCATGACAGGGTCAGGACAAAGCATAAATATAACTCAAGTTCCAGTCATCAGTGGCAGCATCTAGACGAGAATTCTCTTGAATCATTTCGCTATATGTGTTTGAAAATTGTTGATTTGGTTGATGATTCGTCAGATGATTCTGAAGCCTCCTTGAAGGTGGCAGCAGCTTTGGCTCTAGAAGTTCTGGCCCATAAGTTTCCTACTAATTATTCCATCTTCAATGAGTGTCTACCATCGGTTACAAAAAATATCAGTATGCATGACTTGGCAGTGTCCTCAAGCTGCCTTCAAGCAACTGGTGCTTTGATCAATGTGCTTGGGCCTAGGGCACTATCTGAGCTTCCTCACATAATGGAAAATTTGATTAGGATTTCTCGTGAAGCGTTTTTATCTTCAGATATAAAAACTACATCTGGGGTTGATGATGGCTTGCCTGTTGTGTTACAAATACCGAAGGAATCTCTTATTTTATCTATTCTAGTCACTTTAGAGGCTGTCGTGGTTAAGCTAGGGGGTTTCTTGAACCCATATCTAGAGGAAATTACAAGAATTATGGTGCTTCATCTTGATTATGCGTCAGGGTCTGATCAGAAGCTGACAATAAAAGCTGACTCAGTACGAAGACTCATCACTGAGAACATCCCTGTAAGAATCTTAACAATGTCTATAGTTGACTGTCAATTTGTTATTTTCCTTCATTGCTTATAGTAAAAGGTTTGTTTCCTTCATTGTTTCATTTCACTCTGTTAACTCTGGTTCTTGTTGTCCAGGTTCGACTTGCTCTACCACCCATGTTGAAAATATTCTCTAGTACGGTTGAGTCTGGTGATTCGAGTTTAACTGTTTATTTTGGAATGCTGGAAAACATGATTGGTAGAATGGATAGGTCATCTATTGGTGGTTACCATGCTAAGATTTTTGACTTGTGCTTGTTTGCTCTTGATCTACGTCGTCAACATCCTGCATCTGTTCAGAATATTGATGATGTAGAGAAAAATGTATACAATGCAATGGTTGCTCTTACTATGAAACTCACAGAGTCCATGTTCAAGCCTCTTTTCATTAGGAGTATTGATTGGGCGGAGTCAGATGTGGAAGATATTGCGTGTGCAGGAAATATACCTAGGGCAATATCTTTCTACGGCTTGGTAAATAAACTTGTGGAGAACCATCGGTGAGTCAGTTCTTCCTGTTTGTGCTTACAATTGCCAGTAGTTACCTATATTTCCATTTTCTTGAAGTGATTTGATTGCCCGTGTGTGTGTGTGTGTGTGTCTGTGTGTCTGTGTGTCTGTCTGTGTCTGTGTGGGGTATGGTATTGAGAATTAAACTTCCAGTTGTTTCTCTGTGTGTGTCTGTTTTTCAAAGTGATTTATTTAGTGTGATTTCTTTATTATTGCGGGGACTGATATTTCGTGTGAATTCATGTTTATTATTATTTGTTAAATGCCATTATTTTAAACTGCAGGTCTCTTTTTGTTCCTTACTTCAAATACTTGCTCGAGGGTTGTGTACGTTACCTAACTGTTGCTGGAGATGCGAAGGCTTCCGGTTCAACACGAAAGAAGAAGGCTAAGATTCAGGAGGGGAAGGACAACAGCGTGTCGCTTGGAAACTGGCATCTCAGGGCTTTGATACTATCGTCATTACATAAATGTTTTCTCTATGATACTGGAAGCTTGAAGTTTCTTGACTCTTCAAATTTTCAGGTTAGTCCACCCTTTATATTGACTGTCCTCAGCGTTTGGCAGTACAAGTCAGGAGAGATAAGAGGAGAAAAGAAAAGGATTTCTAGTGGAGAGAACCTTTAATTGAAGATATTTTTGGAAATTAAAAATTTGAACCATTTCCCTTCTAATTTGTACACTTTGTTTAGAAAATAAGTGGGTCTTGATGTAACTTATTGATCAAAATCGTTTTATTTATTTTTCCTCGATTTCTCTCAACATAAGATAAGGGTCTCAACATTTTGACATGATGGGTGTATTTTGACAAAACTGTTTATAAAGTGATGCACAAGTGTAAACAGCCCTCCTAGTTTTGATGAGAAAACAGAAACTTGTATGTTTCTTCAGGGATCTGTCTGCTACTATGTTAAATTTGTCTTACTAAATAAACTTCGAACTTACTCTGTATCTTCTGCCATAAGACATCTGAATGATTGGAAGCATCATTCTATACGTCTGTTTCTCCCTTCTGGACCTTTGAGTAAAATGTTGCCTTTAGAGTTAATTTTTCGGTCATTATTCATTATGTCTGTTATTTATATAAGCTGCACGTATTTTCAGGTTCTACTGAAACCCATTGTTTCACAGCTTGTCGTAGATCCACCATTGTCTCTAGAAGAGCATCCCTACATACCATCCGTGGAGGAAGTCGATAATTTATTGGTTGCTTGTATTGGCCAGATGGCTGTGACTGGAGGAAGTGACCTTTTATGGAAGCCATTGAATTACGAGGTGATATTTCTTTTCATAATACTTTATACTGATACTCACAAATATCCTCTTCAATCTTTGCCCCGGTGCACATTCATATGAAGTTGGCCTTCGCATATGTTTTTTGAACATAGTTGAATAGTTATTTGTTCTGCCTTATTTGTGCGACATTCCTGTTTTGAAGCTAATAGCATGTCTCCAAGATCTGCATATTTTCTTTTTCAGTACCCATTGCTCATATTTGGTTAACTGCATGCTAGTCTTTGTATTCTAACACTTGTATATTATGAATCTAGGTGCTGATGCAGACACGCAGTGACAAGGTTCGGTCCCGAATTTTGGGCCTGAGAGTTGTGAAATATTTGGTGGAGCATCTGAGAGAAGAATATCTGGTATTCCTGGCTGAAACCATTCCCTTCTTGGGTGAATTGCTTGAGGATGTGGAGCTCCCTGTTAAATCTCTTACACAGTCGATTCTCAAGGATATGGAGACCATGAGTGGTGAAAGCCTCAGCCAGTATCTGTGAACGTGATTCGTACGCTACTGCTGGCCCACGACGGTGTTCTTTGTATTTCGGTGAACTTGTCGCACTATCTACTAACAAAGACGTAGGATCTCTCAGCTGAAGAATGCTTGGATGCGTATTCCTAAGGGAACTATAAAAGTTTTGATCATTTTAATTGATAGAATGGTTGGACGGTAACCAAATGCCAACCTTATTTTTTGTTTGTAAAATTTGGGTCCTGGAATAATTCCATTATAGAGAGTGGCCTTGTATTTATATAGGCGCAGGCGCAGCTCGCAGGTTGGGCCTTTAATTTTGTAGTTCACCTTGCATATAATTTTGCGATTCTCTGCCACACGCAAGTGGTAAAATTTTAATGCAAAATCAGTTGGAAAACATGAATGCGCAATCAAAGTCTTATCTCTAAAATAATCATAAATCAAACAGCTATAAGTTATGTAAGTTATATAGTAAAGTGTGATTACGATTTATCAAATACATATAATTATTTTGCTGCAAAGGGATTGTGTGGTATTAAAAAAATGCAATACTTAGTCAAGTTGGATACAGTGAATATGCTGTGCACTCGAGTGAGTTCGAATTCTCCTCCTAATAATTTATATTAGATTAAAGTAGAATACATTCGAGTAAGTTTGAATTCTCCTCCTTATAATTTAGATTAGGTTAAAATAGAATATTGTTTGTATCAAGGACAAAAAATGCTATAATTTTTTTTGTCTCTTTTCCTGATAATAGAAGTGATAGTTAGGCCGTCATCTTATTTTTATTATTTTTATTTTTGATGAAGTAAGGGGTACAATAGGCCGTCATCTTATTGATGATTGGCCATTGGGCTTATTTCGTCAAATCTTTACTGGCTTTTATCAATATGGTCCTCTATATATTTCATATTCAAATAAAAAATATTCTGACGAAAAAGAAGAAAAGAAAAGAAAAGAAAATACATGAGGTTTGGCATACTTCCACACCTACGTTGTCCCTGCCGTTAGATTTACCATGCACCGTCCATCATTTTCTGAAGTTTTTGCGCCATGAAGCCGTCCATTTTCTGAGCTGCGTTTGCTGGATTCACGAACGGGGTTCCTCAGTCCCGCGTTTACCACTCTACGAGAAGGTAAAGGCAAAGCATCCTCTCTCTCTCTCTCTCTCTCTCTGCGTTTTCTTCTTAATCTTTCGTTCCTGATTTTCTGTAGATTATATGACATGGGTTTTACCTGGGGTTTGATCATTTGATCCGATTCTCTTCCAGGTTAATTTCTTTCACATGAACTGTGTGTAATGCATGTGTTGTCACTATTTGCTGAAATGAATGTGCTAAGCTTTACGTGTGTAAAACACTTATACCTAAGCTCCAAATAAGGTTTTTCCTCAATATCGTAGGCAGGAAGGCTAGCTTTAGAGTTAGTGGTTTATGTTAATATTTGTGTTAAAGTATAAGCATAGCTTACCAATGGCAAACCCATTAAGGGTGAACGTCAGAAAATATCCACGAAAACTCAGATGTAGAACCTGTGGAAGATTGGTGGGCGACTCCAGATGCTCACCAACTATTCAACGAAATGCCCCAAGGAGCCTTTGAGCATCTCTGCGCCCAGGACTCCAACTTTCTTCTTGGATGCGTTTGTAAGTTGTGTGTTTCTCTCTGGCCCTCTCAATTTGCTTCGTGGATGGGGTTGATATATTGACGAAAGAGGGAGTAGAAGAACATGCATAGAGAGATATATGAGGATTTTTAATTTGGGGTCTGGCTTTATCTTTTTTTTTTGTTTTTCCGGAGCAGGGCTGTGCAGTGCAGTGCATAGAGAGCAGCAAAGCACTATGACACTGCCCTAGTACAATCTACAACCCTCCAAACCCAGTATGGAGATATAAAAAGTTAAGGGTTTATGTTATTGTTATTCTATGCCACTAACCAAAAAAGAAAAAAGAAAAAAGTTAATGGCATTGTTATTTTATATTATGTATTTATGATGATACTGATATTGGAAACATCCAGTTGCATGGTGTATTTCATGCAATCATGTGGCAACTCATGCAACCTCTCTATAACACTGCCCATTTATAATTGTACACAACAATAAGACTAGGCTAGAGTACTATTATATAGCATCTCCCATTTCACAAGTTCCATATATAGGGCATTGGAACCTTGTTGCAATCCATTTCTCATAGTTTTGGTGTCAGTTAAATAGCTGAGTTGATTATCAATTAATCTTATCTCAGTAATTATGGTTAGTTATTTATGAAGTAGGTTACATATGTTTTTTCATGAAGTCTTGAGATAATTTTTTTTTTGGGAAGTTTGCACGTTGAACCCTCAGAATTAAAATCATGAATCCACCACTTGTTCTTCATGAAGTAGGTGAGAGATGTTTTTTCCTATATTGATAATGAAGTCTTGAGGTAAAAATATTTTGGAAGTTTTATACGTTTGCCCCTCGAGATTAAAATCATGGATCCGCCAAGCTTGCTCATCCCCTTTTTCTGATTTTGAGTATAACTTCTTATATAATGAGTAGGGGTGGATGCGGTTCGAAAACCGCAATTTTTTTCCAACACCTACCTATTACCTTTCCAATTCTTTCACGTGTCCCTCCTCCCTCCCACTTCTCAAGTTTTTTTTGCTTTATTAAACTTATCTTTTTTATCGGTGCAATATTTCTTGAAAATATGTTTTCAACTTTTGACAATTAGATTAGGGTCTTTCCACTCGAAACACAGAGAAGGTTCAGAAAGTGAGGTGGCGGTGGGAGCAGCAGAGAGGAGCATAGTGAGAGACTGAGAGCGAGAGCAGAGGGAGGTCGACGAGATTTCAGAGACAAGGAGAGGAGAGATAGCTTCGCGTTGAGAGTTCGAGATTGAAGTGAGAAAGCTCTACGCCGTCCCCTTTGTTTCATCTCTTTCTCGCTCGTCTTTGTTTAGGTACCATAAATGTTTATTTAAATAAATATTAAATATATTGCAGTTGGTGCGGTATCTCTCTTCTTCTTCTTCTTCTTCATCTCTCTCTCCCAGTCCTATATTTTCTTCTTCTTCCTCCTCTCCTCTCATTTCTCTTTCCGAATCTTTCATTCCCCCTCTCTTTGGCTTCTGGCTTCAAGATTGACCAGAAACGTATCCGAAATGTTTGATACTTGTGTCAAGAACCTAGGATACGTGTATCGGTTGACTCCAATACGAATCCAACGCGTATCTGATACGGGCCTAAGTCATATTTCATTGTGAACTGATTCTCATACTCATTTGTATTTATATTCTCTTTGGTTGATGAGAAGATAATTGAAACTGAGAAAAGACACGATTCTGGATTTCTTGGTATTTGGTTCAAGCCTTTACTGTTAAGTTTGAAACTCTAATTTCCTTTTTCAAGGCATTCACTCAAATTGACAGGTTTGATCAACGTGCTTATGACAATTGTCTATATATTGATGTTGTATGATTCTCATGTATGAATTTAAAGAAATGTCTCTTTGAATTGAATAGGGAACTTAAAATGTTGCCAAGATGGAGCAGAGCTGTTACTCAGCTCTCAAGGCTGGGTTCACAGCATAACTTGAATCTCAGAAATGAATTTTATGTTATTTCTCGCCAAAGCTATGGCAGGGCTGCTGCAGCTGTGGCTCCAGATACAGCTATTACTGTAGAAAAACCTCTCCCTAGTGAGCCAGTGGTACGTTTTTTAGCTACCCATCTGCATTTATATAAGGTACTCAGTTGTGTCTCTGTTTGGAAATCGAACTTGCTGATTTAGGTAATAGTTGGTTGTAGTTTAAATTAAGTTTGATGATTTACTTGTTAATGGGCATAGATTATCTGGAAATTAAATCATTAGCCATGAATCATTCTTGTGATCATGTATTTGTGTGTCTGTGTGTTGTTGGCCTTCGTCAAGTTGTAGCTTCTAGAATTATTTCATTGCTGAGACTTAGTGTACCAATGCTTAACAGGTAAATCTGGACAAACTGTTTTGGTCTAAGCCATGCTCATTGGCTTTGGCCCCGGACTCCCCATTAAGAATTGAAGAGCCACAATATGCGGGATTTAAACATGCAATCCTTAGGCTGATGCTGTTTTATAGCAAACAAAGCACGTCCATTCGAGGGGCAAATGTGGTATATAAGCGAATCATTTCACAAGTTGATAAACCTGCCATTTATGAAGGTCAAATTTTCTCTCTTCTTTCCTCTGTATTTTCTTTAATAATCTTGTGGATATGTTATGAGGATAATTGGCAATGTTTTTAAAGCAAGCTTAATGGCAAGCTAAACTTTTCTCACAAAATATGCAGTATTCAACTTGGAGAAAACCTTTAAGACAACATTCTCTCTACTTGTACTTCATATGTGGCTTTGCTTACGCCGGTTGAAAGAAGACGGAAAGGAAGGGGTTGAATTTGGGCAATACATATATGAGACTTACAATCACGATGTGGAACTTAGAGTATCTAAGGCTGGGGTATGTGATCAGTTCTCTTATGTTAAGCTACATAATCCGCTTTGAACTTAATGCTTATTGACAGTTTAGTTGCTTCTTGTTAATGTTATTTTCAGATAACAAGTATAAATCAAATTGGAGGTCATCAACTGTTTTTAAAAAATAATTTTAAGTTATTTGTTTAGTATGGTTCAACAAACACAGGGAATTTTCCAGAATGAATCTGTTTCTTAGGTTTTAACTGTTGTGCTTTTGGTATAAGAGGTTATGAGAACATGGTTGCGATACTATTTGCTTGTAATTTTAGGGGGCTTACAATTAAGCATGAGGTTGCTTAGACTTTCCATGATTTATAGGACTGTTTCCGTGTTATGAAGTTGGTCTATCGACATTTTGGTGCACATGATAATGCTATTGTTTCTTTCACCTTTTATATATGGGGTTTTTTTTTTTCATGCACGCTAAAACCAAAATAGATGCTTTGCTTAGTCTGCTCAATTCCCAAAAACATTCGTGTATAGCTATGTCCAATTCCGTGTAACATCTTTCACGTTATGCATATTGAAGTTTCCTAATTACTCAGAGCCAACATATTAGGTTGTTTTTTATGCAGTATATTATAGCATAGGATTTACAGTTATGCATGCTAATTGATTTACCCTTGAAATCTCAGGTCAACTTATTACTGACTAAATGGATGAAGGATTTGGAGAAGATATTCTATGGGAATATTGTTGCTTATGATGCTGCCGTGCTTCCGGAGGCTAGGCAGGATGAGCTGCAAAATGTGATTTGGAGGTAATCTTTCCCAAGCTTGGTCTATAGTTCCCCCAACCTTAGTAATATTCTTTGTCATTGGATGGTGTTCCCATACGAGCCCCAACATAAATATGCTCAACCATTTGAACATGGAAATATTAGCCATCTGTACCTGCTTTGCAGGAATGTCTTTTCTGATGATGGTTCATCACAACCGAATGGTGATGCATCACGAGCAGTCCAGGCATGTTCTCATTCTTGATCTTGTGTTATCTAATTACATTTCACTTTGTGGTTGATACACTGGAGAATGTGTAGTTCTCCAGGTTTGGAATTACTAGAAGTGTTCTTTTCTCAGGGTTGCTAGAACTGTTGCTTTTGTAGCTAAGCCACAACACCTCCACCCTGACTTTATAAGTACTCTCTTCTACACCGAAGAAAAAGTGAATATATTAGCTGGTGATAAGTGAGAAAAATGTGTAATATTTGAGTTAGCCCATGGACACAAATGCCATATATGATACCCAGCTTCATGTCTGTAGATTAATTCTCTCTATAAGATGTTGCCTCATTTACCTGCCTTTTTAATCAAAATTCTCTCTGGTTTTTATTTTTCGAGGGAGGAGGGGTAGTAGTGCTTAACTTTCTTATGTCTTTTAAGTTTTTAGATCTATATGATGCGAACAATTGCAATGAACGTTTGTGTATATGCAGGCAATGGCAAGATATATTCGCCGGGAAGTTAGTTGCCTGTCCTTGACAGGTATTCATTGCTTGTTCTTTCTGTTTCCTGGTGGGAATTTGGTATTTATGATAATTTAATGAGTTCCTATCAAGTTAAAGATTGCACATAAACTTACAATCTCTTCACCAGATATAATATATGATGCCTACAAGTTCAGTCCGACAAAGTTGTGCAATTTGATTGTGCAGATAAAGCAGCTATGTTCTCTGGTAATTTCATGTTTACTTCATTGAAGGGCGAGAAACCAAAATCAGAGGCATCCATATAAGAATCCATGTAGTCATGTGCGAGTTTCCGTAGTTCGGAAGAAAATTAGAAAATTTTCATTCAACAACAAATCATAAAGGCTTGTAAAACACGACCACAAATAAAACTTTTGTATAATTATCAAAAGCAAGTCCGTTATTTTTTCAATTGCCAGTCTTGATGGTTTTAGCTTATGTAATTATGCGTTGGTTGTGAATGATTATCAAGATATTTGGTAGTTCGTTCCATTTAGATGGGGTATGTCGCTCTCTTTTTTCATTATCCTTGAAAATGCTTTTGCTTTGTTATGTTAGTTCTTGCACTCTGAATTTGTTCAGTATTCTTTCCGATCATATAAATTGCTTTCTTTTCCACATAGTACATGCATCAGAGATCAGATGAAGCAACTAAGCAAATTATCATATTTATATAGACTAAAAGAGAAAAGTGACAAAAAGGAAACGTTAGTTATCAGCTTAAATGGATGCTATAATTCATTGTATGAGACATAAGTTTTGGATCAAAGGATTGCAAGCTTTTATTTAAAACAAATAGACCCATCAGATCATTGCAATGAGGAATTATATTGAGGGGGTCCTTAAATAGTCATCCGATCAATTGCAAAGGGGTTCTTAGGGCCAGTTTGACATTGCTGTGTTATGAAAATAATCGCTGTCAGATTTGCTGTGAGAAAAATCAGTTGTGAGAGAAATTAGTTTGGCGTTTGATAAATTTTTTGTTAAAAGTGTTGTTGGTATTAATTTTACACATAATCAGAAAATGATTGCCCCATAATCATTAAACCCAGCGCCTCTTCGAAACTGATTCTTGCATAATTAGAAAATGAAAACATCTCATTAGCTACTTTCCCTTATAGCTTTCTTTCACAGCAATTTTTAAGTGATTTTCTCTTAGTTTACCAAACGGGGGGCTTCTCAAATTTTTTTTAAAATCAAATATCATCATAAATAAACAATACCAAACTGGCACTGAACAACACGATTCCCTCAACACACTCAACCCCTCATTAAGACGCTTCCCCTCACAGGACAAGGCGACTCGGCCTTGTTTGTATTGGGTTTGGGCTTAGTTACTTACGTCACAGGCTTGTGGACTTGGATCTTCTTGGGGCCTTATGGTGAGGAGGCGCGTCCAATTTTTCTTCCTCTATTTCCTGCGTAGGTAAAGGGAATGTCAATATCCCAACAGCAATAGGAAGGAAGTTAACGAAAAAGAGTTGATTTGTCTATATTTGTAGACCGAGGGTGGGTCCTACACTCCCACAACATCTGAAGGTCGTCCTATAAGTATACATGCCGCCGTGCATCTTCCCTCCATCTCTCCAAGCAAGCTCTTCAATTGTACAACAACCTGTAAACCAACTTGCAAATCCTCTCTCTCTCTCTCTGTATTTACTTCACTCGCACGCCACTCTCTTCAAGTTCTCCTCTTTAAAACCCAAAACCCAAACACAGAGGTTACTGTTCATATATGGGTTTCTCATTCCCACACCAAGAAACGTATTTCCTTATTTGACCCCCCGTTTTGCTTTTCTTCAGATTTTACTTTTCCACAGATTCCCCTCCATAAATTCCCATTGTTTTTTCAGGTACCCACAAAATCTTCTTTATTCACGCCGTACCCAGAATTTGATTCCCCCAAATTCAGAGTCTTTCTTTCTTTCCCAACCACCATGACTTTCTTGAAGATTTTCCTTCTTTTTCCTTTACTTTCCCTCGCGTTTTCTCAGGAAACTTTCACTTCCCACCTCCTGCCGAGGCCTTTGATCATCGAATACCCCGAAAACACGGAGACAAATTTCAGAGAATTAGAGGAAGAGTTTAAATTGCACTGTATCAGCTGGAGATTTTCTGTGGAGGCTAACAACATCAACCCCTGGAAAACAATCCCACAGGAATGTGCAGAGTATGTGAAAGATTACGTGACTGGTCGGGCTTATGGGTTTGATCTCGAAAGGGTGTCTAAGGAGGCTGGAGTTTATGCCAAGGCTATTGAATTGAGTGGTGATGGGAAAGATGCGTGGATTTTTGACATTGATGACACTCTGCTTTCCAATCTTCCGTATTATGCTGACCATGGTTATGGGTATGATTCTTGAACTTCCTTTGAGAATTTTCTTTGGGTTTATGGAATAGTGTAGAGGAAAACAAAAATATAGTAATTTGGTAAAGATGCGTGGAATTTTGACATTGATTGACTAGAATGTTTTCTAAAATTAACATAAATAGAATCATGTTGGGAATTTTAGAGTGTTTCATTTGTTTGGAACTTGATAATACCAGAAAACCAATAAATTGAATGAGATTCTTGTTATGAAATTTTGAATTAAGAATTATAGAAACCTTGGAATATTGGAAGTAAATTGTTCATCTTTATGACCTTATGATATCTCGAAATTTATCAACTAGAACCTGCTACAACCAATTTGTTTAGTTAAGGCGAGGTTCTGTTGTAAAATGACCTCACCACAATTCTATTTTTCTATTTTTTCATTGAATCTTATCATGATTTATTGTGTGGTGTATTTTTTTTTCTTTTTCGTAACAATGTTCTGATGTGGATAATATGTGTGCTTTTGTAGCTTGGAGGTTTTTGATCATCTGGAGTTTGAAAGATGGGTTGAGAAGGCCATGGCACCCGCTATAAAGTCCAGCTTGAAACTCTATGAAGAGGTCTTGGGTTTGGGAATTAAGGTATTCTTGCTCACTGGGCGCGGTGAAGGGAAAAGAAAGGCTACTATTGAGAATCTGGTCAATGCAGGATTTCGAGATTGGCATAAGCTTATTTTAAGGTGAGTATGAATGCCGCTTATGAGTTCATGTAGAATATTATCTGACTAGTATAACTATTATTATCCATATTTTAATATCATTTGATTGTCCTAGTATGGTTTTTTCCTTTGCAAATTTAAATGGAAAGTTAGGTTATGTCTTATTGCTGTATTCTAGAGCCAAATTTAGGACGTGCTAAAATTAAGGGCAATGCATGCTTACGAGTGTTAGAGAATGGGAAATTTTTATAGCATTAGCATGAATATATCATTGCTCTTCAGGCTACTGTTCCCTGGGTGGAGTAGATTTGAGGAAGTGCCATTCCTAATATATATTCTTTTTCAGTCACATTATTAAGTTTACTTTTTCATGATATATATAACATTCTGTTGTCCTCCCTCCCATCCTTTTTCCTTGGGTACTGATCTGTTACTTTCCTGCATATTTACTTAGTTAGAAATGATTGAAGTGGATCTATGTTGATTCAATCAGATGAAAAAGATAACTCAGTTTTTACTTATGTCCTGCGCATACCTGCATACACATTATTCACACTGAGGACCCACCTCACTTATGGTCTGAAGGTGTTACCATGTTCTACCATATAGCTGAACTCAAGTAATGTAATTTTGTTAGCTATAGGACTTGCCCACCAGATATTGATCAAAACCTACTACATTTCCACTTGATTAATTTGGATTCGTTTTCATTGTGAATTTTACTTGATTTTATTAGATCAAAGAAGGTTCTCTTTTTGTGATCTTTCATAATTGCTTTGTTAGGGGTGTTGGTGCGCTATATTGATGATTTTCTGTTTCTCCAATAGATGTTTGATTTCGTCTTCCTAAATAAATAAATATCATTTCATCAGGTGTTTTTCATCTCATCTCATTACTGGTCCTTGTCAGTTGGGAATACAGATTAATGACAATGTGAAGTTAGGTTTATTTCTAAAGAAAATAAGGATGAACATGAAAAGTAAAGCTTTCAATTGGATACCCAAGTTTATCATTTATAAGAAAAGCTTATGATTAACATTTTGACATCTTCTTCTCTTCTCTCTTGTTTTTTGTTTTTAAATCATTGATTACAGAACTTGAATTTGAAGCTGTCATTTTAAGACAATGTTCATTACTTAAGCTATCAGGAAGCCCTTGACTTTAGGGCATTGTGCTTTTCGTCCTTGTACCAGCTTCATAATGTTTATTTGGAATTCTGAATCATGTGTTTCACATATTGTGCAGGGCCCCGGATGAGCAAGGGAAATTAGCAACAGTTTACAAGTCCGAAAAGAGGAATGAGATGGAGAAAGAGGGATACAGAATTCTTGGCAACTCTGGAGACCAGTGGAGTGACATATTAGGTACCTCAATGTCCATCCGCTCATTCAAGCTTCCGAATCCAATGTATTATATTCCATGATAGGGCAAGCATCATCATTCATTTCAAATAATCACGTTGCATTGTACAGGCAGCCATTGTTTGTTTCCACCATTAAAGGGAAATCAAGATGTCATATAATCGTTGTACTGATATAACTTATGATGATGTCATAGACACTCAGTACAGTACAATCAATTGTTAATATAAAACAGAACCATACCATACACTTTGTGGTCTCTACATGTAAAATGCAGATTCCTATACTTTATTATCAGATAGGATTGGAGGACCACTTTGAGTTGCACAAATTTTATCTCAGTACTTTGTCTCTTTCAGTTGAATTGGTCCCAAACTTCTTGTGGGTAAGGAGCAAAGTGCTGTGACCAATTGCTTTCTTTACAGCACCAGTCATTGTCTTACTGGATTAGAGGGGGGGTGGGGGTGGGGATCGTGGTGGTGTTTTTCATATGTAATGCAGTCTACATTTGACTTCAATTTCAGTTGGAGAATGTTATCTCTTCACTGGGAGGACCATCTTTTGGGTATTATATAGTAATTTAGGTCGAGTTGAGGGACTGTGTTGCCAAAACAACACTCATCATCAACAATCTCTCACGCGACTCTCACGTGTGAAATCATAAAAGTCAAAAATGGCCTTACTGTTTTTCAGTATAGTAGGGTAAAAATGGCACTATATATTTTACCTTTTCACGAATTCACCCCAAGGACCTGTTATCTTCTTGGAAACTATTCGCAAATTGCAAAGTGGTCCTTTTGCAGCTGAGGAAATATTTGGTTTAATTAAGCTTTTAGATGCTGCCGCGTGTACGGTCTGAGGGCCTGACACTTTGTTTGACAAAGCATCATGCCTCACGTGGTGGGGCGGTCCCACCCGTCTTATTTTGATCAATACTTTGATGGTGGGTGCCCTCAAACAACAACTCATCAATCCCCGCCGTTAATTAACATATTGTCTCAACCACCACTTAAGCC